TAGTGAGCTTGGTGCGACTGGATTAGAACAACCGTCTCAAAGCTTCGAAAATTTCAAGGGGCCAAAATGGCGAGTGCCATATCAACAGAGACCGATTAGCCAATCGCCTTGATAGGTTGTAGTCGTCTGTATGTTAGTATTTGTTTGTGTTCGCGGCTAGCAGTGTGCGCTTGTTTTGGCGGTTGTGTGGATAGAAAAATTTGGTGTAAAAGAAACGTCTCTATAAAGCTACCTGTCACCAGCGAATTTAGATCGGCTCACCAGGAATGAAGAGGCCAAGGAGAAATTGCTCATTTCATTTCATGAGCAACCACGGACGCAGGCGTATATATCGGTCACAGAGTACAATTCATACACTAGTAAAGTACCTTTAATTTAAGATCAAAAATAGCATTTTGGAAATCACGTACGCGGCTTCCAATACGCTATTAGGCCTGGGTCCCGAAATCGTTCCAATGCCATGACATAATATTGCAAACATTCGCATAAAATGAAAGAAGGGCTCAAAATGTACAACACACTTCCACAGGGATTCCAGCGGCATTCGAGCTTTAAAAATATTGTATAAATGAAACAAAAAATGGAGCACAATAAGACTCTTCGCAGAGGCGTCTTTAGGTGGTGCATTTATCAAACTCCAATATCATGAGTGTGGGTTTAATAAAAAAAAAACAAAAAAACTAAGCCTCAAAATTTATGTTTTTTCTTAGCACCGAGAAAAATGGTGAAAACCGTCACGTTGACACCACTACTCGCAGATGGCACAACGTGAAGCAAAACGTTGACCGCTTCTTTGAGATGAATATCCGAATGCAGATTCAACGGCACCAGCTAGAGACATTTGCGGTTCAACCAGTTCATTGGATTATCCGTAGGAATTTTCGTACGCCGGAATAGCGGTCAGGGAGCCCCTTCCTCTGTTTCTAATCGCGGCAAATGAAGAGAGACAATAAAAAGAAAACGTATAACATGCACGTGACAAACTTTTAATCGACCGCGATAAAATCGTCCTTTGTTCGTCGTGGCACTCTCGTTGTGAACATATAAACAGATGGAAACAACCAAGTCACTTTCTCACTAAGAGTCCTATGGACAGTTTCGGCATATAAACACTCCCGTCATTGCACATTCAAAGGGTTCTGCAGTATCCTTACCTGTCTTCTAACACTCTGGTACCTCTTTAAAACAACATTTGGCCGGCTAGTCTATAATGCCCGCGTCCCACTAGAGCAACAAACAGAAACGACCGACACAGCAAGACTCAAACATTTGCAACATGCACGCCATGGTACCTTAGACAGGCTCGCACCCTCAAGATGCTTGTGAAGTAAGCACGAGTGATAGCGAGCCTGCCAAGGATACCATGGCGTGCATGCTGCACGTGTTTGTGGCATGTCGGTGTTAGCTGTTTTTGTTTGTCACACTAGTGAGACTCGGGTATAATAGCAGAGTTCCACTGGGCAAACATTCAACAAACACCGCTCACCAACATGCCAAATGCACCTTCTGGCACAACCGTTTGAGCTCCACCAGCTAGTAAACAATCGGTGTGCTTTCAAAAGATAGCTCCATTCACCGAAAAAAAAATGTTTTTGCTTTGTCGGTAAGAACTGCTGGTTGGTTGTTTGGCTAGTGGAACTTGAATCAAGTGAATAAAAGAAAGCACTGTGACGGACATAGCGCGGGGAAAAGTACGGGCTCGCAAATCCACGGATCGCAAGAGACTTTGTCCTAGGGGTGCGATGCTAGGTGGCAGCAGATAAGATGTCGAGATCTCGGAACCGTACAGTAGCTAAGCTAAAGTCTGACTTGAGATTTGTACAAATCGTCCGCTTAGTTATCAAACACCCTTCTGACGATGAAAGCGTATATACAAGTAATCGCACGGATTTTTATCACTCCTTCCCCTCCCTGCTCATAGTACCCAATGCGTTTTTGAAAATTTTATCATATAAAATGTGTCCTATGATGTATTTTTTTTTCGAAGAATTTTAGTCATGAAATCTTTCATACGTGTCTTTTTAGCATGGAAGATTATATAAACCTACAAATTCTCATGTGATAAAAAATTATTAAATTATATCAGATCTTATATCTGATATGATGTCAAGTACTTCTGTTATTTGTTTTGCTTCTTTGATTCATATGTCATCTTGTTTTCAAGGTATTCTCCCAAGGCTCGCAAAAATTCAACCGAATTTCCTCGGAATCTCTCCAGGGACGGCCCTAGGTTCTTATCCGACACACTGTTACACAGCACACACCTTGTGCATTCAGAATGCCGATGGAGCACAGGATGTTTTAGAAAACCAGAAGCAGGGGCGGATGCAGGTATTTTTTTAAGGGGGGGGGGGGGGGTAGGGTCAGGTGTTGGTCAGCGTATCATATGTTTAAACCCCCCCCCCCCCCCCCCTTTTCCGTTTCCATGCCCTAAATTCTTACATATGCAAAATTCAAGAGGGGGTCAGGACATCCGGACTCCCCCGGAAGTGCTATCCCTAAGAAACCTCGGAGCACAAAACCAAGCCATTTTGTCGCCTTTGAAGGGATACTGAACCGAAATTTGGATTTCGCAAAATAAGGCCACAGAAGCGTTAAACGGGATGCTACTTACTCCAAAACATCACTCATACATCGATATCTCAAACGGGTGGCTGTATTTTTGGAAAAGAAGGGCGCGATCAAGCGAGGACTACGACCTCACGATCCTTGTGGAACAGTTGAGAATGAGGGGAAGCGGCCTTGCTTCTCTCCTCTCGCGTCGGTTCACCAGCCCAGTTCGAGGGGACAAAGAGAAGAGGGGATGGAACGATAATCGCGACGTCACATGTCTCGTCGGCCTCGTCGGCCGTGTTCAATCGCGCACTTTTCCAAAAATACGGCCATTCGTTAGAGATATCGTTGTATGAGTGATCTTTTTGGGTTTTGCAGTGTCCCGCTTATCGTTCCAGCCTTGTTTTGTGAGCTCGAAATTTCGGTTTAGTATCCCTTTGAAGGCTTCGACGCAGGTTGTGGAAGGTTGTCCCGACGGACATCTCTCACTAAGGACACGAGACTGGTAAGACAGATTCGTCTGCTATGCACTACGGAGCAACGTCGTGGACGAGATGACGGGAAGGTGGCGAAGCTCTTCGTTTGCCTTGCCCACGTACAAAATTTCGACAATCCTCCGCCTCTCAACGGCATCTCAGTCACGGGATAGAAAGATGCATTCTCCTAGGGCGCTAACAATGTCACATCTCGTGGCGCGTTGCCACAAACCCGCGTAGCGTTTCGACACAATGTCAGAGTTCCACATTTCAACCAGCGTGCTACAATGTGTTGCATGAGCCAAAAGTAACAAGATCGTCGTGTGAAGGCTCGTTACCATGTGCAAGGATTCAGGTATTTAACCTAATTCCAAGTTCCCTCGTGATAGCCTCTAGAATAGCCACGATGTTTCTTGAGTTTTTATCACGTAACTTGTCTCGAACAAGTGCACGATTGCCACAACATTTGTACTCTGGACTGGACGGTCCAGCCATAGAGTTATTATAATGTACGCTAGAGGTTCAACTGGCGCTAGTGTCTATGCGACTTCCGTGACGCAAATTGAAGCAGACAGCAACCAGTCTACTTTTGCGGTGCTCCTGTGCATTCCTATGGGAAAACGCGCGTGCATTTTGTCTCTTCGCCGGAAAATAACATGGAACACTTTGGTTACTTCGGTCGTACCGAATAGTATGTGTCTTAATTAACATTGTAAACGTGTAATTGCTTTAGTTAGCGCATTTTTCTTCATCAGTGAGCGATGTTTAACTTCGCTGCATTTCAGTCCCAAACGTGTGTTCCGCAGCAAGTGAGTAAAAACAAGCGACGATTCAAAGCAAAATTACGATCGAAACGAATATAGAGTATGTTCAAGGCTCGCCAGTATTCCGGTGACGCTTGTATGTTGATAATATGCCAGTCCTGTCACCATATGAAAATGATCCCGTCGTGCATGAGCGAATAAAAACCTTCAACGTAGAGAATAAAGTCCGTGGGATATGAAAGGTGTATCTTCGTATTGTTTTCTCTGCCGGGCAGCTTTTATCGCGCACTTGTTCTCAAAGATGTCTAGCACGCGGGTGATATTTTGAACGTAGAACACGCAGCTTCGCTCAGGACAGAAAGAATAAAGCGGTACTCACTTATTTAAAATCGGAATAGATTACGTGGCCTTCAATTTATTTTGATCGTACATGCACTGCGAGTTACTGATCCGGTGTTGCTGCGTAGTTCTTGCCGCCGCTCTTGATTTTCCAGATGTCCTTCGTTCGTTTGGCATGTATATCCCCCATGCTGGAAATCGCCGACGCCGCGTTCGCGCTAACAGTGTCCGACAGTGCACATAAATACACGTACGAAGCCGTTTTAGCACCGTTTTTAGTGCGATGAATTCGAGAGAAAAACGCCGTAACTGACCAATTCTTTCGTCGGCCTGACTGAGAAATGTTCCAAACTACCTAGTACGTACGAATTATTTAGGATATTTGCTCTTATGATCGAGCAAAGGGAGAAAATGCACTCACTTTTTCCCATAGAAATGCATTGCCGGAAGTCAATTTTCGACTGGTTGCTGTCTGTTTCAATTTGCGTCAGCACACTAGTGCCCCTTGAACCTCTAGCGTACATTATAATAACTCTATGGGTACTTAGAAGTTGCACTCGGTGTGGCTGCCAGGATTCCTAAAAGCATCTGTCTTATTTCTTATATGGTTCAACATTATTTGAACTATAGGCTGTTTTAAGACGATAAACTACATGGAAGGCTCAGCCCTCCGATTTCCAGAGTGAAGAAATGGCGTACCATTAGGCACGAACGAGCACACAATTTTTCGGACGTCACGGAAAGCAGAAACACCTGTCAGCGTCTTTCTTGCAAGACTGGCGCCCATAACAAAGATGAAAAAGCTCAGTCTAACGCTTGATGTGTTTCAGCGCGCCGGAAATTGAGCGTAGTATTTTTGTGTGTGTGCGTGTGTGTGTGTGTGTGCGGAGCCTGTTCTGCAGTTTTCAAGGTATAACATAGTACAGGCAGGTATATCGTATTGTACCAGAATTGAAACGATATCGATGTTTTCAAAACGTCCGATATGTTATTTGAACTATATCATTGCAAGTTCACAGTGGCAACAGAAGGTAGGGAAGGTCTAAAAAAAACTTTAAATGGTCCCTTACCAATCGCCCAATCATTTTTAGGGCTTGTGGGTCGTGAGCGCATGCCACAACTGTAAAGGAATAGAATCTCCTTTGATGATTGCCAAATTACCAGTATTGCATGGAACTTAAGGTATTCCGCGTGAACCTGGTCTAGAATTCTTGTCGTAAATTTGTTTTGAAAACGAAGATTGATAATCAGCTTATTAATAAGTTCCCATCCTTTTAACAACAGTTGTACGCCACATTGGCATACCTGCACACACCGGTGCTGTGGAGCATCGCAATGAAACAAGCAAACCTGCGTGATTTAAAACGAGTACTGCTAAGCTCAGATGTGGCAAAAGTAAACATAATTATAGAAATAACTAATATCATGTGACCAATTTGTGAGTTTGCAAGCTGGATGGCTAACCTAATGTTATCATCATCTTCAACCCTCCCCACCTTTGTAAGTGATAAATCATCGCATACTTTCCGAGGACATCTTGGCTTGTGCCTGATTTGTGACACGGATGTGTGTGATGTTAACCTATTTGATTGTGGTACTGTGGCATTGTGACAAAGAGGGCCGTAGCAATCTGTGATGCGATAAATGACTCATCGAGTTTGATTTTACCGAACTGCCATGCCTTGCGGTCTCAGCCTTGGGTTTCCTGCTATTAGCTTGGCCACGAGAATGACGCTAGGCCGAATCATCAGGTCCCTTTATAACACGTAACAAAATTGTACAATTTTTTATGACGCCAAGCTGCCGTTCCTGCAGTATATCGTTTAGCAGATTTACTTGTTAGTATTTTGTTTTCCTGAATAACACGTGCTAACATCAGTCTTCTGGTCAAGCAGCATCATGTCTTGTACTGAAAAGAGAGAAATCCGAAGACAATCGCACATCCAAGTTTTGTTTACGGTACTTGGGGGTGTGACTAGGAGCTGCCGGCAGGAGGGACCCGTTTTGCAGAAGGGCCTGTTGGCGAGGTTCTTAAAACACGCAGACAGCCGTTCATGTCACTTGATTGACTGTTCACGACACGTGATCTTTTCTTCACGTCGTCCCGCGACGTCGCACTTCCAATGACGTGGTTTCGTGCGAGGTGACCGCGAAAAGCTCGCGACAAGGAAAACACAATCAGAATGATCGCACACGCAGGCGTTGGTGTCGTCGTAATTATTGGGCGAACACCGCACCACCTAGCGATAATTGCAGCGTTTTGTGTTTTACACCGGGTCACTCTGGCGTCATGCGCACATGACTCAGCGGGAACTTGACGTCGCAGAATTGGCTTTACGTGAAGGTTCGGCTGGTTCCACCGAGGCTCTCAACCACACATAGGATGCGGGATGTCCGTTTGGCGTCGAAGGTTACTTTGGCTCTCTCCTTTAACGGCTGTTGGTTCCTTTTAGCGAGATCTGCTGATGCGAGGCACCAATCGGGTGTCATGACCGGATGTTTACTTCGGGGTGCCGTTGTCACTCCTCGGGTTTTGCCGGCCGTCCTGGACGATGTAGGCTGCCTCGTCACAGCACGTCTGCAAGGGAAAGTAGAAACGACTCACATTGATGGGTCTCCCAACCAAAAACGGAAAGCGGGAAGCGCGCACTTTTAGCGGAGGGTTTTCCCGGCACGTTCCGCATCGTCCCGTTTTACTGTACTTGAAGTACAGTACTTGTACTTGTACTTAAAGTAAAGTACTGTGACAATGCACTTTCAAAGTAAGTACAAGCAGGGGCAAATCCAGAACTCCGTTTTTTTTTGGGGGGGGGGGGGGGGGCGTAGCATTTTTAAGGATATTATTCTCCCATTCTTTCTTGTGCAAGGGGGGTCCACCCATGTCAAATTGCTCTCCGAGAAGGGGGGAGGGAGGGGGGTCGACTTTGTGTGGGGGGGGGGGGGAAGGGCGCCCCCGTCGCCCCCCCCCCCCCCCTTTTGGATCCGCCACTGTGTACAAGTATTTTTAACACAATCTTTCATGATGCCCTTTTATTACCAATAGTTTTTTTTTTACTGGTATGCATTGTTCGGAGGGATAATCGAAAGTGCATCAGTTTTTTTGTTTTTTTTTTCGAAAGTGGCAGCAAATATTGGATAAAGTCATGTAGCCACAGAGTAGTTCTTTTGCTCTCGCTGAAAAACTATTTAACACAATCAACTTATAATGCACGTATTTAAATCGGTCTTATAACCGCGATTTCTTCACTCGGAGAAATGATCAGACGACGTCTCGAAAGACAATACGCAATGACCATACGACATTTTTTTTTTTTTTATTTTTTTTTTTATTTTGGGAAATGCATTTTGAAGTTGGCAGCTGTATTTTCCTCAGAATGAGTACCGGAAACAAAAATTGAGTAAAGTACAAGTAAATGTTCAGAGAATGTACTTCAAGTAAAATAAAAGCTTTCTGGACCTACTTGGTATAGTACTTTAAGTACCATGCACTTACAGTGCTTCTCAACACTGCTCGTTCATTATTTTTTATGTAAAAACTTTGGCGGAATTACTAAGGCCTCTCGAACGATCTTTGGATCTTGGAAGACCGGCATATTCTGAGTTTCGGGAGGAAAGGCAACGCAAAGAGGCCACCTTTGCGTTGCCCTTTAGCACGCGATTCTTCAAGAAGAACAGAAACTATAGGGAGCATTCGATGAGCTTCAGACCGGGCGCTGCCATTTGTTGCCTTCTTTAATTGAGGATGTAGTGTCTATACCTCCTGTAGTGGGCGAGAGTTCCTACGTTGGGGAGAAGCGGGGACAAACGCGTTCTTCGAATGAGTCGTCTCCTTGAGCTTCGGGACACAAAGAAACGCCAGTGTTCGGCGCAAATCCCGCAGTTACTCGCCCTCACTTGCGACGTGTCTGTCCGCTCCCCGTCGCGCCTCGTAGCAGGGTTGTGGCAGTGAAGGGGGGGGGGGGGGGGGGGCGGCTCTTGAAAAGTTTAGGAAATTTTGGACCCTCGAAATCCCCCCTTGCCTACGCCACATGCTTTCACCTCTATGCGAATATTACCTGATCTTCCAACATCTTATCTCTTTTCGTGCAGGAATGTTTGTCGATAAGCAAACCTACAACTAAAATTCGAAAGTAATTTGTAATTTGAGTAAAAGTTACTCGGAAAAGGGAACCAAGTTAAGCTACTAAATACCGAAATAAAAATGTAATCGAAAGCTACTAAACTACTCACAACGGTGGTAGAGTAGTTGAACTACGTACAAGTCTGAATAAAACCAGTGGGCGCAACCAATCACAGGGACGAGAGGAGTGGAGAGGCGATAAAAGTGTAGGGGTAAGTAGGCAAATACATTTTCATTGGTCGGTCAGGAGTGGCATCTTTCTGGCGACTGACTCGATATCACGCGCACCCTCTCCCCCCGATGTCTCCGTCTTTCTCCGACAAAAATCACCTCTAAACCGAAAAACGGAACGAAGCTCCCAATAAAAATGCACGCCTTCGTTCTTGGTTTGGAGACCCCCCAAGCCATACACTCTAAAAAAAAAAAAAAAAAAGGGTATTACCTTACACCCTTTTGTCCCATATAATACACCCCAAAACTTCATTTCGACGTACAGCGCCCTATAGTCGAACAGACGGCACAAAATTTTACTAGGGGCTTGATAACGGTGTGATATAACTTATTGAATTGCCAAAGTACGTATTAAAGAACAAAGAAAGAAAACACGGAGCTTTTGCAGTACGACCAGAAAAACTCCGATAATCTTTTTTGTAGTCAATAATACGTATATTAGCTATTTTAATAAGTTGTACCACACGGCTATCAAGCCCCTCGCAAACTTTGGGGCCGCCTGTTCGATTATGGGGCGCTGTACATCGAATTGAAGTTTTGGGGTGTATTACATGAAACAAGGGGTACAATAATACACCTTTTTTTCTGAGAGTGTAGAGAGGAGAAGAGTTTGGCCATTTATTGTCCTCCGTGACCTCTCATCCGTCGTTCCGCTGGCACACAAGGCGGAAGTGTTAAGCATGATGAAGAGCTTGTTCTTTGGATGTGTGGCTCAAAGACAGACGACTCGCGGGTTTCGTTGTTCAGGCAACGGTCAAGGTCTTTAGTTAAAGGAAATGGTTATGAATCCGTGTTTCTGATTTTGATGAGGTTATATAGTCTGTGTCAAGTAACTTAAGCCAAGCCAATGGAGTCTTTTAGGAAGTCGTTATGTGAAATGTTTTTCTTCCGACTCGGACGTCGTCAAATCCTTTCCCTCCCAAGAGCACAAGTTGCATTCTCACGCATTCCTCTCGGGAAGTATTGTTCCAAAGCACCCGAAGAGCCCGTTATTGCGCGTTGTCACAAAAGGGGGCTGGATGTTTGATGGGCCACGGCCGCTCGATCGCGAAGGGCCGTAGCTGGGCAGAGGCGCCTTCAGTTTAGGAAAGAGATATCCCGAGCTTCCTAAAATGCTTCCAACAAACGGGTGGCGAATCTGCTCGTTTGCTTATTTACTCCCGACTAAACTCCCCAAGGAAAGACATACCGCGAGCGGCATCTGCTTTACTCGCTTCCCGTCTTTTCTGACTAAAAGCATCTTCCCTTGCCAAGGCCACGCACGAAACGTTCTGGGGTCCTTGACAAGGCATTTTAGATTAACCATTTATTTCGGTCGTTTGTTGGAAAGAGCAAAAAGGCTGGGGCTCTGCGTGTCCTTTCCTCTCGGGTTTTAAAATGTGCTACCCTACTGGTGATGTGTTCATCGTATTGTAGCCTATATGCCGCTCACCCCTAAGCTACATAAAGTTACGTGCTCTTTGGACCAGTCGCACATCTATCTTTCGCCACGTAACCACCCTCTCGTTCAAACCCACGCGCAGAAAGGAGTCAGATGATGAAAGGAAGGTAGTGGATCGGTTCCGGTGAGCTCGTAGCACCGCACTGTCAGCTTAGGGGTGAACGAAGTACGTAGCATCGTCGTGATGGCATGGGTCATAATGACGTGACTCTGTGAATCTTCTTCACACGACAGCTTCTCTCCACCTCCTTCGCCTTTCCAGCCCGCCTTTGTGCGTCTGTCGTGTTCCTCGTACTAGGCTTTGGCTTCAGATGGACATCGTATATTTACCCTGATGTCTTTTCCGCGATATATCGTCGTGCAGAATAAATTTTATTTTTATTTTGTAGGCTCGCAAGCGCACCACCTTATTTCGAAAAAAAAGTAATTTCATAAGTAATAAGACATTTTCTCGAAATTACTGGTTGAAAGTAATTCATTACATTACTAAATTACCAGCCTAGAAACGGAGTTTACATTATCACAAAAATAATATAATTACTGTAATTTCATTACTGTAATGAAATTATACTGCCATCTCTGGGCTCGAGAGTCGTATGCCGGGTGACTCGGGATCTGGATAACGAAGAGCAACAGTTTAGCCTTCATCGTCTCACGAGTGTTGCCGAGCCCATCACTCACCAGACTACCAGACTGTGACGGTTGTTCGGCCCTCAAATGCCTGCCCAGCACAAAAAACACGAGCAGCACGAGCTGCTCGGGACTTCAACACCAGCGAAACGCACGGCTTTCAACACCCTTGCTTCACAAGGCCCATTGAGGAGGAGATCGAACAGTCACGCCTCTGGCGGCACGCTTCAGCTGTGAAACAACGAACTGAATTTTATTGTTTGTTTTTGATCAGCGATATCGATGGTGACGATTCGAATGGCCGCTCCTCGTGCAACGAAAGCACTGGTAAGAGTGAAGCGCTCGTGTCCAGACAGTGCATGACGAGGTTAAATTTCTTTGTTATTCCGTGTTAGTAAACACCGGGCTGTGGGGACAACAAGCTCGATAAAGCTCCCCCTATAGTTTGATCTCCGGCCCAATATCCTCCGAGATTTTTTGCGCGCTCGCTGTTAAAAATCTTGGAGGCCATGCAGGGCCGATGAGCAGCGCCGCTTATTTTTCTACCACATCTTGATCTCGTTCACTGTATTGTGTGTCTGTGTGTGTGCGTGGTTTATGCTTCCTGCAGTCTCGGGGTTGTGTTATGTTTAGGAATATCCTTCGCTTGCGCCCTGACTTTCTTTTCAAAATATATGATGCGCGTTCCAGGTTTTGCGAGCGACTGCCCCGTCGTTCCAAGGGCCGCCCATTTGAGTGCTACGCCGCACTGGCTTCCAAGGGCCACACGCATTTGGCCTATTTGACGCTACTTGCAAAGCCCCCACCTGATAGGGCAACAAACAGAAACCGTGGAGCCTCAAGCACGTGCAGCGTGCATGCACATTTTAAGGCTTCGAGCGTCTCGGGGCTCGTGGCATTAGCACGAGCGATTGCAAGCCTGCACGTGCTGGTCGCTTGTTTCTGTTTGTCGCTCAAGTGGGACTCGGCCCTTTGAGAAACGACATAAAGTACGTGGTACCTCCAAAGTCTGGTCTCAGAGCTGGTGGAAGAGGGTTGCCGCGGTGGGCCCGGAGCGCGGCTCGGGGCTCACGGGGCTCGGGTCCGGGGTGTGGAAGACGGGCGACGAGCCTGTGGTCAGGGGCCTGGCCGTGGACGCCACGGCCTGCAGGCTCGCCCGGCGGACCGTCACGGACAGGGCGCGCCGACGGGGACGCCGGAGACCGCCGTCCAGGTCGTCGTCCTCCTGCGCCGACGCCGTCCAATCGCTCAGTCGAGATTTCACACAAGATATCGCCAGACAATGGTGTAGGCTGCAGGGGCAGAAAGGCCGTTTGATTTGACGTGGCTCCCACCCGTGCCTTCGACAGCGCCAAAGTATGGTGTTTTTCCGGCCACTCCGGCGGCCGACTTCTTTCAACAGCTATGGCCGGTGACAGCTTAAGACTTCAGGAGAAGCTCCATACCTTAGCAAAAAATTGTAAGGGTGCAGGCGAGCTGGTGGAAGTTAACCATAGTTCTGTTTAACCCGAGACTGGGGTATTTCGGAAAAGGGACGAGAAGAAAAGAGGCCACAAGGAGGCGACGTCTCAATTGTTTAACCCGAGACTGGGGTATTTCGGAAAAGGGACGAGAAGAAAAGAGGCCACAAGGAGGCGACGTCTATTGAGACGTCGCCTCCTTGTGGCCTCTTTTCTTCTCGTCCCTTTTCCGAAATACCCCAGTCTCGGGTTAAACAGAACTATGGATACCTTAGCAGTGCGAACGCCGGAGAGAAGGTCGCCCTTCAGAGTTCCCTCCGAAAAAGTGGAAGGAGCTTCCCCTGGAACTCTTAAAGGAGAGCTCCGGCGTGAATTTGAACGTTTTCAACTAAACATATTTTCTGAAAGAACACAGGAAAGAGTGTTAAGCAGCAAGTAAATTTCCCCAACAAATTTTACATAATTTTTAATCGTAAAACTACGATATAGCCCAAACCGAAACTAACCTGCAGCTTCACTAGTCTGTCATCTTCTTGTGACGTCAGATGTTGTATAAACATCGGCACACGAGCAGCTTGAGCCTGCTTGGCCCAGCGTCAAAGGCAGTCAGAAAGCCGTCGCGATCGTCCGTGGTAAATAATTCATCGAGCTTGTCTCAGTCAAGCTATGATTGGCAGATGTATTAAAATTTTCAGCACGAGATTTCAGACGATTCGCCGTTCGCATTCGATCCGCCGCCATCGTCTCCGAGGGGACCTCCCGTGGGGGCTGAATCCGGGATCTGCCGACATGTGGATTCAGGTGATGCTTCAAAGCAGAATGGCATAAAAAGATTTATTTCCTCGCAAGGAGTGAACTGTTTTCTAGCACGACGCGAACGCTAGGAGCCAGCGTTCACGTCGGACTGCTCGGACCCCCTTCCGTCGCAGAGACTTCTCGGTCTAATACCAATAAGATGTCACTCTGCTGCATTTCTTCGTGGTGTTATTGCACCCCACAGCCAATCACCAAATCTCCCACCCTCCATCGCATGCCGCAAACAGCCTAAACCAGACGCAATTCGCAAAACCACAGATGATCACTATCAATAGAACGCTCAACGCCGAGGAGCAGGAAGCGTCGTCTGCTTTCGGATACAACATTTCACGTCACGAGTGTCCCTGCTTGTTGTTGCCAGTAGAGCGGCAGAAAGTAATTTGGAGGTGCACGCGTAGACTTCGAAATTCATTCTCTCGAGTCAAAATGAATATTTTGATTAAATATTTTGTAGACATACTCACGGGCGGATATTTAGTACGTGGTTACAATTTTATAAAAATCAATGAGCATCAATTTGCCACCGACCCTATTTCTCGTTCCGACACGATCACACCTTTGCCCGTTTGCTGAGCTACTGAAAGATGGAGTACCTCAACGTCCAGCAGGGTCCCGTCGGTGGCGAGAGACTTGCGGCGCCTGATGCCCAGTAGGAGTTCCGAGAACTGCTCCTGGAGTTCTCGGAGGCGGATGGAGAGGGCCGCCTGCTCGGGACTGGCCGGGGCCTGGGGCGCCCTGGGCTCACCCTGCTCCAGCTGCAGGGCGTCCAGCTGCTGACGCACCCTCTGGATCTCCTCTTGCACCCGGTGCAGCTTTTGCTGCAGCTGCAAGGTAGAGACCGACACGGGGCTGAGCGCACGCTCTTTGCAAGAACCCCGTCGGTTCACTGGAATGACACAGAGCTGGCTACCCTGCGCTGCGATTACGGGGCGAAGATGAACATACGAAACTATGGAGATGGGAGACATGCCGACAAAACAGTATCAGAGACTTGGACACCTTTGCAGACTGGTCCAGTGTTCCTGGCGCCAGGTACTTTGAGCTCGTCAAGAGCAGCGTTGGCATCGCTTCAGGTTCCAGCTCCTTATGATGGAGGGAGTCATCTCAGCCAATCTAATGACGTTCTGTAGGGGAGTAGTGAGTCACGTACGCGGTACGTTCGCAGCGCTGGAGCAGTGAGTCACGTACGTGGTACACGGCCTGTAAATCATGCAACCGCTATCGCGGAATTGAAAAAAAGAAAGAAATCAAGACACACTTTTTTTAGCATAAAGCGCGTGATCAGTCGTGAGGCCGCAACGGTTGGAAGGAAGTCTACGCCGAACGCTGACAGAGGACTCGTGTTCGACAGGTGCTGAGAGTCGACCATAAACTGGCAGCTTCGGGAGATTTGCGCAGCTGTTTCCAGATGGAAGATCTTTCCAAAGGGAAACCAAGTGCCCCGAGAGTTTGACGTTTTCATGGGATACCCGAGCGTGAGGGGTCTCAAGCTTGTGCCCCGTCACTCGCTCAACTCGTTCCGTCAATTACAGTATTCGCTCACATTTTTCGCGAGGAAGTGATAGCGACCTTTCTGAGCTTGGAAAAGCCGCGCCCGCATTGAACGGTTAGAGCCCGTTCCGCGGAGGTCCGCGTTTATACTTCAAGTTCGAGCAGTATCTTCAAGAGTGAATGATTCCTGCTCGCTCCCAGATTTGCATTACGCTTATTAGGTTAGCAAATCTCGTGACTGACTCAAGGCTAGCCCATGAATCACTAAAGCATGCTTACCTATACTCCGTCTCACTAAAACCGTGCAGTACAGCCAAAGGTACAGGGGAGAGAGCGTATGCCAACCTGTTCAAAAGGAGGGAAATGAGGAACGGGAAAGAAGGTCTGGGATTCTTCCGTTCCTCCTTTGCCTCTTCTTGAACAGGTCGGGACGCACTCTTGGCTGTACTGAACGGTTTTAGTGAGACGAAGATGGTGAGGAGATCAGTTTGTTGTCCTCACACCTTGCTGTTTACTCAACACAAGGCCTGTGGACATGCCCACAGGCCTCGTGGGCATGTCCACGTCATCCTTTTCAATAAAGATCGGGGGACAGTGTAACGTAAAAATACTAACAATCAACGAAGTGGTGTTTATTGTTAGTGCCGGATATCTCCCGAAAGCAATCGTCAGAGAATGCGAGCATGACCAACTTGGGCTTTTGTGCTGAGCTGGGCACCGTGCATGTTGCATTGTTCGTGTAGGCCGGAGTCGAAAGCCCCTCCTCTCCCTTGGGCGACCGGAGAACACGAACTCCAGCCGAACGCTGACGCGGCGTTCGGTAAGGTCAGCCGAGCGCTGAGTGATTGTTATTTACTGTCCCCATCCGTGTAGTTCTAACGTTAGCTGCTTGGGGCGCTACGGTCTGATCTCCTCCTCATCATTCCCCCAGTACGCCAGGCGTTCATGCCAATCTTGACTTCCAAATACGCTTCCGGGACAAGCCGCTTACTTCCGGCGGCTTTATATATGTTTGTTTAGTGCACCACCCTGGCCCCCTAGTCCTTGGTCACAATATGTTTGCATCGCCATGAATGTACATACACACCGATCCAACGTTTCCACAAACAAGACCGCAGTTCTGTTTGGAAAGCGAGCAACGCACGTGCAATGCGCACGAAAGCTGCTTCCGCACAAAACCTCTTTATTGAAATGGTCAACACCGTGCTTTGAGGACGAACTTTACTTTTAACTTTAAAGCACGGCAGTGATGCCACAGATGCAAAAATCCAAATAAAAAAAAAAAAAAAAAAACAACGCTACTGCACAAACTTTGGGCTCAGTTTGACTACGATGTTTCCGCAATTATTAATGATCAATCAAATGCTTTCACTATCATCCCCTTCCCTCCAAATAGAAAGGTGCCGTGCCAAGCAGCTGCACGCACATTTGTCGAATAAGCTTTGCTCTCATTCAAGCTCATCACACAGGATACAGTGTTCAGTTTCCAGGATGTCTGTGGGATCGTGACGTGCTTTCGAGGGGTATCGGTATTAATAATGATCAATAAAATGCTTTGAACTACCATCCGCTTCCCTCCGAATAGGAAAATGTTGTGCCAAGCACCAACACCCACATTTGTCGAATAAGCTTTCCTCTCATTCAAGCCCATCACACAGAAGACTGTGTTGAGTTTCCAGGATGACCGTGGTGTTACTTTCGAAACTGGGACTATCCTCCGCTTCCTTCCAAATGGAAGGTGCTGTGCCAAGCACCAGCACGCACATTTGTCGAATAAGCTTTCCTCTCATTCAAGTCCGACATAGAAGACTGTGTTCAGTTTCCAGGATGCCTGTGGTGTGCTTTCGGGATTGGGACACAACCTGGCGAAGGCATCGGCTTATTTATTTATTTATTTTACCTTCAGGGCACGGGGCAATTGCAGAGTGAAGTGGGAAATACAAAATACAAAAAAAAAAAAATGAAGCACAAGAGGAACAAAATAAATACTCAAACAGTAGGGACTGGTAGTTAGCCATACTATACCCGTTTTCACCTCAAGAACCGTAGTAAAAAAAGTTCGGCTTCTCGTGGAACCACTGCTAATTTTCCTCTTTATATAATGAATTAAGATATGTGTAAGTGCATTTTAGAGCAGATATATGTTATCTTATCAAGACGTACCCGTTTCATACTCCAAAAGTATCGCTTCTTCCTCTGACAAGCAAATATTGTAAGAACTACTTCGCGCGGCGCATTAACAATGCGCAAAACTTCCTTTTTCCTTGAGGAGAAAACGAGCATAGTACAGAAAAGAGTGTAGTCAACAATTGATGTTAGTTATGCAGGTAAACAGTTCCAATGACTGGAAGTTTCAGGAATGAAGGATGCAAAAAATTAATTGGAGTGGCAAAGCGGGACACCGACATTGTGACAATGATTAATGCGTGCGGAAACAAATGATGGTTGGATTATTAGCTGTACATTGAGTTGAGGAATACGGTGGTAGATATTATGAAAAAGACAAATGCGAGAGATTCTGCGACGATGTCCGAGACTTGGAGGTAGTAAGCTATTTTCGATTGATGTGACACATGCAGTGCGATTATAATTAGCTAGTATAAAACGCGCGGGCCTGTTCTGAACTGCCTGAAGCGAGTCAGTGAGGTAATTAGTATACGGATCCCAGATGGAGGCTGCATACACGAGTTTAGATTGAACAAGCGTTTTATAGAAAAAAAAATAACTTTAATGATGAGGGTGATAGATAGAAGTTACGTTTGAGATAGCCAAGCATCCTACGAGGTCGAAATCTCGGCAAAGTATCGATTGTAAAGCTGTCGCTTTAAAAGTCGCAATATGGCAATATGTAGACCATATACGAGACAGGATTTGGCTCGAATAAAATTGCCGACACTAGAACTGCATCCTATATGCGTGTCCCTTAAATCTCCCTAAAACAATTCAATTATACCGGGCTGCAGAAGTAAGTTTCGAGGCAAAGTTTCGGGCCACTCTTGGTTGCCCAAAAGTTCATTTGGGAATGGCCGACGGCTGCTGCTGTTTCGTCTTTTTGGCTGTTGCCTTGGACATGTCGATCGATGTCCGCGTCACGAAGACACTAAACTGACGGAGCCTGGTCTGGCCAGTCGACTCGTCCAGACACTTGATGATGTCTAAGACGCCGAGGACCCTGGTCTCCGGGAGGTAGCTCCCCAGCAGGGCGGTGAGCAGGCCGACGAAGCTGAGCGTCAGCAGAGCCAGCTCGCTGCGGGAGAAGAGGCCTCTCTCGTGGAGGATGGGCGACGCCATGGCCCCGACCCTCCCAAAGAAGTAGCAGGCGAACACACCCAGACTGCGCACCACGGTTGGGAAGATATCGACGCTGACGACGAAGATGAGCACAGCGGCCATGACAAGAAACACGTCGATGGCCGCGTTCATGAGCCGTACATGCACTGGTACTCCCGCGTGGACAGCACGAAGAGCAGTGCGAAACTGGTGGTATGGATGGTGCTCACCGACGCCGACACCCAAGAATCACGAAAGCCATGTACGCGTTGGTGAAGCAAAGGGCCAGGCCCGAGAGCATCAGGGAGGCGATGGGCGCGCAGATGACCGGTCGCCGACTTACCTTGTCGGACAGGGCGCCTATGAAGGGCGCCGCAGTCACGGCGCCGCTTATGTACAGGACGGACGAGAGGGTGACGAGCCAGTGGTTCTGGCATACCGCGTCCCGATGGGCCACGAGGGAACGTCCGGTGCCCGGGCCGTCTCTGGCAGGACCGCGTCGACCTGTTCTTAGAAGCCACGGACAGCAGAGGATCGTGGCGGACGCCCCAGACCCGCTTCCCGTCGGCGTCCCGAGGCGTGCTGGTGTTGCTCCACTGTGCCGCCGTGAGGTTGAAGTACTCGGCCGGCTGTCGTGCCGCTCCATGGAACGGAGCGGACGCACGAAAACAATCAATTCGAGCGACGCTCGCTAAAAGGAGCACCGCCATGTTCCTCCGCCGTTCCTCTCTGCCACTCGTGCGGCTGAAAAATTTGCCCTAGTAGGGAAATGCGTTTAACTTTATGCCGCGGTAAAAGTTTACCAACAGACGAGCAAACGGGCGCTGGATGTAGAAATTCTCGCCACTTTCAGCGATGGTGGTACCGCGGTGTGAGAATCGTGCTCCCTAGCTCCTTGATAATCGGTTCCATATCTGAAAGTGCTTGATACACCTTCCTGGCGTGCAAATATAGGAAGTAGGGCTCTTATATCGCTCGAATTTCACAAATCTTGAACTGCTTACGCGTCCCAGACCAAACCTTGTACTGCTGTTCTACGGCAATCATCCAGATGGCAGCCATC